ATCTGAAAACTAAAAAAAAAAAAAAAAGCAGGAGTGTGCTCTGCTTTCATGTCCTGTCCTTTGTGTGTTTATTGTATGTTTGCTAGCAGCTTTGCAGATTACATCTCTTCTCCTGCAAACATTTTTCACTTTGGGGTAACATCCTAGGCTCCGTAGACGCCTGACAACCTGTGCTGGCTTTTTAGCCTTATATCAGAACATATCTGAGCCTTAAAGTCTCTAATCAAGTGGCTGGGTAAAGCTGGTGGTTTTGCTGACCAATTTAGTGAATTTGCATCATTGTCTTTAGGTGATAGTGGGCTGAACTCACTTTTTAGTAATGATGCTAACAATGAAACGCTTTAGAAAGTTGGACACAGCACATGTACAGTTTACAGTACTTGTAGTGCTGCAGATAACTGAAACAATCTTTCAAAAGTGGATACAAGCAGCAGAATTTGCAGGTTTGTCCACTTGGAGAAGTGTGGAAAATCCTATTAGCTACTTGAACTTCTGCATTTTCCATCTTGACCGTCATTTCAACCTTAGAAACAACTACAGAATTTCAACCACTGGATACATTTAAGAAATGTTACTCTTGATTTTTACATTTTTGACTTCAAGTAAATCAAAATGTATAACTTAAAACCCTTTTACACCACTGAAAGCACACCTTTAATATTCATGTCATTATATTGCTGTGTAGTTCATTTGAATTTTACATATTTGATGCACACCCTTGGCTCATCTCTCCTGTGCTGGCACGGCATGCTATCGGCCTCTTCCTTCCTTTTTTTTTTTTGTTGAAGGCTTAAACAGTCACTCCAAAAACAACTTTAGAACCACCAGTTTACCTGACAAGAAATACATGGATGCAGAATCTGGGGTTTGAATTGCAGACCTTCAAGGAGACAATCTGCTCTAAATATACATAAAAGAAATAAACGAGATTTGGGGGTTCAGGGCTGAAGCCATTCAGGAAATGCAACTGAGACAAATCACATTTATACTATTGCACACCACACCCTGTTTGAAAATGTAAAAAACTAAAAAAATATATATGTAAAAAATCACAAAATGACTTTTAAAGTTGACTTCTACAAAGTTGAATGTGTATCATTTGACACAAAGATCATTCAAAAAGGGAAGTGTAGTTTACATAATCTTTAAAAAAGAGGAACTTTTTGCCTTTGTTGACATTCATCTTGAATTTTCAGTTAGCTAATAGAAAGTTGGCTTCATCAAAAAAGCAATAAAAGAGTATGTGTACAAATTTTGCAACTTGTATTCACCTGGAAATGTAGATTTATCTGCTGCACTATTCCAGTCTAATTGGTAAAAAATTTAAATTATAGGACTAATAAGGGGAAACAAGACTGTCTACTTTCTGTAGTAAAAGAAGTCATTAAGTGAAGTACAGGGTATTAGCAGAAACAGGGTTTGGTACACCTGGCTGTTTTATCTGATTTTTGAGCATTCACAGGTGAAAACTAAAATAAATTTGGCATTTTGGGTAAACATTTGAAAGCCATCGCCATGTAGGGTTGATGGCTGATCTAACTAAGTGTAAGAATATGACAGCTCTCCTTTTTACTGACATCCAGGTTCAAAGTTATGAAGACTCAAAAATGTCAATAATAAAAAGCACAATACCCCTATATACTTTGAACTGTTCTTAGTGTAAAGCCAAAGTTGAATGAAAACTACATATTTAACTAAAGTAGCTCCTCAGGGAGGACACCCAATCAGCAGAGAAACTGAGAAGTGGTACTGATGTATTTTTAATACTGATATGTTAAAATCCATGTTGATGTTACAGACTCAAAATCAAATCCATGCAATAATCTACACAGTAAAAAAAATGAAGTATTTAAAATCTGGGAAAGGAGATCACTGGTTTCAAGTTGGTACGTTGTAATAAAAACGTGTTTTAGTAATAACAGGAGGAGCATGTTAACTGGGAGAAATCGCTAATAAATCACAATATTGAGGTAAAGAACTTGTCGCTAAAGCAAATCAAACAGCTCTTTGCTAGCCATATTGTGACACCTTTACAGCTTTATTCAAGCTATTTCACCTAGCTTTCCTTATCTGATAAGAGGAAGATGATCAGCATGTTTTGTTAAAAGCTTTGGGGCATCATCACCTCTGTCTGGACTCGATGTTTAAGGTACCTGCAGCTACAATTCCTACATATCACAAAGGCGTAGTCTGGTCCAGTCTGCTCATCTGGATGATGAGATCGATGCTGATTGCCAACATAACGATTCTGCAAGAGCATCCCTCCTTACTTTATGTGGCCTCATGGAAAATCCCGTCTATGTGGTATTTTAGCCTCTGCCGTTAATGTCCAGTTGAAATCATACCTGGTTAGTGATGTGCCCAAGCATACAGATAAGATTACCATAATCATATAATAAAGTTTTTCAAAACACTGAATGGCCTTTCAAATCTTGTTATAGGTACTTTGAAGACCACTTAGAGTTCGTATTAATATTTCAGTTATGTCCTGTAGTGCATTATGTCAGGTTTAATGATTGTACATAATATTACTGTTGTTACTGCGTGGGGTCAGGCAGTGCATTATCTGTTGTTTAGACTGTATCATCTACTTTACATACTGTATTTTTCCAGTACAATTCACACTCCCCGACTCATATATTTCTTGGCCAGCACATTGAATTAAATTAGTTTTCATAAATCCTATAATGACTCATGGAAAGTCCTTACTTAAGCTCTTGTTTGTGAACTATATGTATGTCTTGGATTGTGACTACACAGCAGCTTCATCATGTGCCTGGAGCACCTTTTCTTCTGCTGAAGTAAATTGTTTGGCAATAAGACTCAAGTTACCACATGCCCCTAAACACTGTGACTGGTTTCTTTTAACTGAAAGAGAAAGACATGCAGATGTCACTGGATATGTGTGAGGGTTCATACCTCAGCAAACTCCTAAAATATTCATTCAGCTGGAAGCCTGTGGGAAAATCCTCTCATGTCCATTAGTTTAAGATCAAAGGTCTAAACAGGAACGAGTAACAATGGATGTTTGGAAATTATGTTTATGTACTGCATGTGTTTTCTGAGAATTAAATATGTTTTAGGCTGAAACGGAGGTCAGCGACACAGTTTACATCATATTGCAGCAGCAATTACTTAAAGTAATTCACTTTTGTTATGAAATTTCTTTTAACTACAGAACTAAAACAAAAACAGGTGATTTTTCTTTGGATGCAACTTTTATATTATCCACTTTTAACATAATGCTTCCTGTCTGTGTTTCAGGGAGCGGGAAAACAAAGCACAAATGAGCCAAATATGTTTCTTTTTATATACTGTTTGTAAATAAATACAACCAAGCCATTTGGATCATCAAGAATAAGATTTCTGTACTGGATCAATCGAGGTCTGCATTAACAATGACCACCTCTAGTGGTGTTGGCCAACTGGGTGCCAATGGAAACTGTGCTAATAACAGATTCTGGTCTAAAATGGGAAAAAAGTCTTTTCACTAAGGTCATCCAGGTCTTTATGTCTTCAAGACATTTCTGCAGTTTAACTAATTTGCGTACGTTATCAGGCTTCATTGATAGATAGAGCTGTGTATCATCTGCATAGGAATGAAAATGCATGGTATGGGAAGCAGGCATAATGTAAACAGAATTGGTCCTCGCACAGAACCCTGTGGCACTCCATAATTAACATTAGTGTGTAATGAGAACTTTCCATTTACATGAACAAATTGGAGTCTATTAGATAGTTAAGATTCAAAGGGTAGTGCAGTATCTTTAATTCCTACAACATTAAAGATACTGCACTATACTGCACCATAATATTTCATGTGCAATGAAATATTATGGTAAATGGTACTGAGCAATGCACTGAGATCTAGCAGGACAAGAGGGCATAAGAAGTACAATTTGCAACCTTTAATGCAATGTTTGCATTAAGAGTGTTGATGGAGAAGTAGAGAAAAGGTCAGAATCAGTGTGCATTTTGTGGATCTAGATAGAGAATATGATAGGGGGCCAAGACAGGAACTGTGATATTGCATGCGGAAGTCCAGAGTGACAGAGAAGAAGTATGTGAGGGTGGTGCAGGACACGTATGAGGACAGCAAGACAGTTCAGTGGGTTCAAGGTGGGGGTTACATCAAAGATCTGCTTCGGTTCCAGTTTGCAGTGATGGGGGGAAAGCAGGAGTCTCTGTGGACTATGGTGTTTGCAGATGACTTTGTCATCTGTATTGAGAATAGGAAGCAGCTGGAGGAAATCCTGGAGAGGTGGAGGTATGCTCTATAGAGCATACCTCCACCTCTCTACTTTTTCCACTTTTCTCTATAGAGAAAAGTGGAAAAAGTAGAAGTAGAAGCAAGACAGAATATATGTGTGTGAATGAGAAGGAGACAATGAAGGAGGCAGTGAAGGTAGATGAGTTTAAATAACTGGGTTTAAATAAGCAATGGAGGATGCAGAAGAGAGGTGTAGAAGTGAGTGCAGACAGGGTGGAGACTACTGTCAAGCCTAATTTGTGACAGACAGATAGCAGCAACAGTGAAATGGAAGGTTTTTATAAGATAATAGTGAGACCTGCTATAATGTAGGATTTGAAAATGGTGGGCAAGCATAAAAGCGTGACTCTTCAAATATTTTGCCAGGGTATGGATATCAAAAACAAAACTGCATTTAAAACTTTTAATCCAACTTCAGTGAAAGTCAGGACTAAACCTCGGAAATGTCGATCTATTATTCCAAGTCAGTGTTTGCAGAACTATTCCTTCATAAAAGTCTTTACCTGTGTTGTTTACATATAGGTTAACACAGTTACATTGTTAAAGTAGGCCATTCATTGTCCAACTGGGCGTGTGTGTGTGGTTTTCTTCCGTCCTGTGACTTCACACTACATTACCTGAATGAGAGGGCTTCCACCTGACTTCCAGCCCAATAATAAACAACCTGAAGCCACGCACACGCTGAGCTCCGGTGCAGAAACGGTTAACCAAAAGATGCAAGAACTGCGTGAGTCTGTCTGAGCATGTGCTGCTGGTGCAGCTGCTGCTGCAGTGAAGTAAAATGTGTCAATTTTCATCGGACAGTAGAGACACCGTGGAGGAGAAGCCGGGGACAGCAGATGAGCGGCAGGAAGCGGACACCGAGTCAACCAGGACAATCTCTCCGGGGGAGATGCATTTGATCGTCCGGCTTGTGTGCTGAGGGACACCGCAGAGCTCAGCCGAAAGGTAAACGAAATGCATAGACGATGATTCACGTCGGTGTGCTGGAGCTCAGCGACATGTAGCCAACATGTTAGGATTTAGTAGAAATAGCCATGATCAAAACAAGTATTCGTGAGGCTCCCTAGTTATTATTTTTGCAGGTTTTTGTAATGTATCCAACCGTGGGAATTTCACCCGCTTGTTACTAATGAGTGTTTCCTTGCAAGTTGATAGTTGTGCAGCCGCGTTTCTGTTAACCGTGCCGCAAATTTAGTACACCGAGGCTGGAAAAAACAGCTGGACATCCTGTGTCAAAACTGGTCGAACCGGTCATCACTTAACATGTTTTGTGCACAGTTAGGCTGTTGCACCTGTTAAAATAAGGATATGTAAGCGTACACGAGCGCATTATAAAAGCAGCCTGCGCGTATAAGTGTGTCTTTTTCATTACGCGGAGGCTTTGTCAGAGGAAAGCAAGTGTTTTCAAACCCTCTCTGTTTTGAATCTGGCCTTTTTTAATTATTATTTGTCAAGGATAACCGTACCGCACTGCTCAGTAGGAAGGAGGCGTGATGCTGCAGCGGAGTCTCGGCAGCCGGGCCTGCGCAGTGGCCCGTAGTTTTCCAGGGACAGGATAAGATGACTTTGGACATCTAATTACAAGTAGACAAGCGATTCTTTTCTCTCATGACTTCTCTTCTGGATCATGGTCACACTGTGGGATGTGTTTTTACAGAAACACGGTGCCATATGGGGTTTGGATTTTCAAAATCCCTCATTGATTTATTCCATGTAAGGCCTGCAGTTCACTATCATTTGGGGTGAGATAATCCCTGCTGCTGCAGCCTCTGTAGCCTATATCCCGCCTCAGCCTTTTACACTGACTCTATTGACATTTTGGACCTATTTATAAGCCATTCACTAGATTTCACAGTGAGGATTCCCCGAATGACCCGTTAATATAAATGCAAATGCTTGAAAAAACTGCATTTATCAGCGTGTGGGCATCTAAATGAACGTAGCTGTACAAATGGACCTGTTACCTGTTTCCATACACATATATGAATTGCTAACCTCTTGTGTTATCAGGCTTTTTAAGACGCGTGAAGGAAACGTCACAGCCCCACATTTTTTAAAAACAATAAAAAAAGTGAATTTCAGTCAACACCAGCACAGCAGTGTCAGTGTTTTTGTTGTTGTTGTCATTTTCACCAGTCAGTAAAGTTCATTTAACCTAGTTTCACTTTATATTTTTTCCACTGATCATCCACGAAGCAGGATGGATCCATGCTTTCGTGTTGTTTCCGTGAATCCTGAGCCTACCATGTAAATGTCTTAGCAGAAATGAACACTCATCAGACCAGGCAGCCGTTTCCAGCCTTCTGTTGTCCAGTTTTGGTGAGCCTGTGCAAACTTTAGCCTTCGTTTAATGTTCTTAGCTGGCCAAAGTGGCCGCTGGTGTGGTCTTCTGCTACAGGGGTTATTTGAGAACTGCTGTTCACTGGACATTTTCTCTTTTTCATACAACTGTCACTGTAAACCCCAGAGATGGTTGCGCAGAAAAATAGATGAACAGTTTCTGAAATACTGGCATCAACAACCATTCTGATACTCACTTTGAACTTCAAAAGATCGTCTTGACCATGTCTACTTCCATTGTTGCTGTCATGTGATGGCTGATTGGATATTTGTGTTTACGAACGGTTGAACAGATATACCTAATGATGTGGCCGCTAAGTGTAAGTTTATATTTTTAGGGTTGCGTTAAAACTCTTCAATTAGTTAAAAAGAACCACCACTGAGCAAGAGAACTGAAGATATTGATCGCAAATTACATCCACGTAGAGGCATCTATAATACATGCACAAAAGAGGAGCAAGGCATGGGTTCATTCTGTATTTGCACTTATGCACTTTGGTATATGCTGGTGAAAAACGTGCGTTTCCATTAAGTTGTCTTTGTGTTCTGGACTAAGCACATTAGTGTCATGTTTATCATTATTGGATACATCTTGATTTATGGAGTTTATGGTTTAAAAAACTCAAGTATTAAACTCTGATCAGAGCAGGTGCCAGTCCAGCACTCAGCTTCTTTTGTTTTTCAAAGATCTCTTCCCTTCTAAAACCTGTGCACCGAGACCAATCTCAATTATGCGCTGTCAAAGATTGATTACCAAGCTGTCTGATAGAAGATTAACATGCGCCTGCACCCCTCCATTATAGACATTACTCTCCATTGCAGCATGATGACCATGTCAGTAAATCTCCTGCTTTCTTTACAGCTGCTCCACGATTTCTAATCTATGGTCCATGACCCCTATGCTACCCTGGATAGAGGGCTTAGCTCCAATATCTCAGGGCCTCTCACTAAATTGCAAAAAGCTCAAGAGCTGGAATGAGTGTGATTGGAGGAAGGTTGTGAAAACAATATGAGAGTATTTTGGGGATTGTGAAGGGTAATTCTTAAGATATTTATTGGGTAATAAGGAACGATGATAAACTGACATATAGGCTGGCAGAGAAGAAGAATGACAGAAGGACATGCAGTTTAACTATACAGAAAACAACCCAGTGCATTTCCATCCTCCGGGATACCCGAACACACTTATCTTTAGACATCATTCTCCGTAATGTTATTCCTACCAGCAGCACAGAGTACGCTTCCTCTGCACTGCGCGTTGATTGCCAGATAACTTTGGAAATCCCTCGTCACCGCATGAGCTGAGAAAGCCGTAAAGAGTTGAAGTCACTCCTCTTGTCAGGCTCTCCTGTTTCATTCATGACGCTCCTCAGCTATTTCTGTCACTTTCCAGGAGTACAACTGAATGAAACACTGCAAGTGCTTTTACAGGAGAGTCTGCACTCTGTGTTCCCGTTTTATGTGTGGCCATTCAGAATAACTGTAAGCTTATATAATCGAGAATGTAACTGTCAATTTAATGAATTTCAGGAACTAACTTAAAGAGGCGACCCTGGAGACATATCTAAACACTGCAGCAACCAAACATCCTTATATAGAAAAAAACACCTTTTCTTCTTTAAAAAAAGTTTTCTATCAACAAATCTGAGTAATACCTGATTTGTGTAATAAAGTCTTCATTGCAGTCTTCATCAGGTCGTTGAGAGGTAATCAGGTATATTTGTTTCTATCAGTGAGAATGAACCCTTCAGCGTTCATACCACTCGGTTTATTGAGTGCACTCCTCCCCCACCGCTCTGTTTGTTTTGTTCAGGCTTTCACCTTGCAGATATAGAAAGAATGCCTACTATAAAGTTATATGAGCCTCTGTTGGCACTGCTGTGTCCAGGCTTTTAGTCCTCGTGGCGTCTCTCCCGCTCTATCAGCAGCTCGGATACTTTACGTGCCCCCGGGGAATCTCTGGAATTAGGGGGATGCTGTGAAGGAAGGAGGGAGAAGTGTGTCTTTGTCTTTAGCATCGAGGTATCATTGTCTCGTAATTCCATCTGTTTTCATTTGTTTCTAATATTTATAAACAATATGTTTATATAAACATATAAATAATATGTTTATATATTATTTGTTTATTATTTGTTTATATATAAACATATAAA